TCCCATTGCCAGAAATATACTTCCCTCCTCTGAATTCTACATATAAACTCAGTTCAAATGTCACTTCTTTAAAAAAAAGCTTTCCTAGAGCTCTGGCATCTCCACCTCCTCCTACCTCTCCTAATTGCTGCCAAGGTACAAGCATGAATTACCTCGTATTTCTAAACATTTTTCAAAATTTGAATACCTTTGTAGTATTTATTAGTTTATAACTTATATTATGATTTTGTATAAGTTTATAGTACTAGACCTCAAAGGATGCAGTTTCAATCAGTTCATTTTTATGTTCCCCACATCTTCCAATACAAGGCCTTACCTATAATTGGTGTTTAGTAAATATTTTTTTGAATGCTTAAATGGAGACCCATTGATCTATGACTTTAATTCTTAAAGGGCTCACAACTACTGTTTTATCATCAGTATCAGAAGAATCTGACTCAGTGAGGCATTTTTCATGATATACATTACGTTCAAAACAGAACTTTCAAGCTTTCTAGGATTTTTGAAAACAGTCTTGTTGCTTCCCACCATTAGCAGCTTTCTGTTTCTAGAAATCTTTTAGCTGTCAGTGGAATAGTTGGAAAAGACAGTCTTCTTATGGATATCATCCCTTTCAATGACTCTGAGCAAAGCTTCTTATGGCTTTTGTATTTCCTGCCCCAATTTACTTCCATGACATACTTGGAACCAGTGTTTTGTTGGCATAAAACCTTGAAACTCAGTTTCAGGCAAAACAGATATTCAGTCATATATGAGAGCATTCACATAGGTGTGCCTACGATAAAGAGGAAAAATACCATAGCTTCACTGAAACAAAAAGGCCATCCATCACTCATTCATTTTCTTTTTAATTTTTATTTATTTTTAATTGAAAAACAATTTAAAATTTTCTGAAACATTCATTTTCTTGATCACCCAGCAGACTTTAGGTGCCTTCAAGGATTCTTGCCGTCAAGGATTTCTGAGTCTTATAAAGGGAGATGAATATATGATGAAATCATTATTAAAGACTAATTTGCACAATGTCAGAGGCAAGCACAAGGTAACGTGGAGAACAGAGAATTTTCTTTGAGATAAGATGGATTTTTTTAAACAAAGAAAATCTTTTCTGTAGCACAGTAGTCGTGCTCATATCAATAAAATACATATTATTTTGGAGTGGTTAACAGCACCATCCTCTTGCAACTACTCACCTTGGCCCAGGTGTCAGCATCTGTGGTGGGTTCTGAGGCATGATTCAATCAAGTAGCCACCCTGGGTTAACCAAGACCTACACTTACGTCCTTGCTCCTTAGAACTTATAGGAAAAAATCATTGAAGGAGATGGCAGCAAAGGGATAGTTTTCTTGTGATTCATAGGGCTGTCAACGATATTTTGATTCAATCAAGTAGCCACCCTGGGTTAACCAAGACCTACACTTATGTCCTTGCTCCTTAGAACTTATAGGAAAAAATCATTGAAGGAGATGGCAGCAAAGGGATAGTTTTCTTGTGATTCATAGGGCTGTCAACGATATTTTGAAACAGAGGTTTTTGCATGCTAGTCTGTCTATGGCACCAACATTTTTAAAGGAGTGCAGATGACTTATTGGGATGGTTTGTCCAAGTCTATGACCTTGGCAGTGTGTGTGTGTGTGTGTGTGTGTACGCGCGTGCACGCACATGCATGGAGGGTGAAGGGGGAGGGATTAGTTATGAGGAAAGGCAAGAAAGCAACCCTAAGTTTTAAATGACCAAAGCCTACAGCTGCTAAGTACTGAGTATTTGTATGAACCACTTAAAATTTTCCCTTTTCTTCACATTTAAGGACACTTTTCTATTCACTAGCAACTCATTGAGAAGGATGGAGTAGGATGACATGAATCAGAAGTAGAAATAAGAGAGGAAATTAACATCCATCTCAAATTATTTCTTGTCAGTGGCTTAGTGAAAGGCTCAAATACAGGGGAAGCTGGAGACATTGTTTAAGACGAGGCTGTAATATTGCTCTGGATTCTTATGATTACAATTGAAAGAGGTCTATGGCTTGGAGTAATGATGGTTTTAGGATTCCCTGATGGCACCAATGGTAAAGCATCTACCTGCAGTTCAGAAGACCTGGGTTCGACCCCTGAGTCAGGAAACTACCCTGGAGAAGAAAATAGCAATCCACTCCAGTATTCTTGTCTGGGAAATTCCACGGACAGAGGAGCCTGGCAGACTACGGTCCATGGGGTTGCAGAGTTGGACACGATTGAGCAACTAACACAAATGACTTTGGTGATAGTGAACAAATATGTATTAAGTACCTACCACATGCCATCACTGACCTAGGCACATAGAATTTAAATGGACCCAGAAAAATTTCTGTCTAGAAGTTTGTATTCTAGAAAAAACTGGCAAAAATGGTGTTAGCATCTCTCCCTGTTAGAAATATTTTCTTCTCATGAGTTCCTAGTCATGTGAGGGACTTAGTCTCCATCAAATCCCAACATCAGTGCAAGAATCACAAAATTTCTGTCTTTCAAAGCTTGCAGACTGGTATCTGCTTAAAATGTTTATATGAGCAGGGAAATGGGACTCTGGTTGAGATGTAGAAGCCTCTGTGTATGTGAGTTGAGGGGGCAGTAACAGTGTACAGAGGGAAGAAATTCTATAGTGGTGCCATCCACACTGATACCCTCTCCCAAGCTGGGGGGAAATGCGCGAGTTAGTACCTGAATGCTCCCCTCCACCCCACTTGCCTTTCTCTCTCTTCCACCACTTTGCTCCCTCCTCCTTTCCTTCCTAAATCCCTCCTTCTCCTTCCTTCCTTTTCGCCTGGTCCCTCCCCATCCCCTTCCCTCGATCAGTGCTTCCCTTCTCCCCTCTCTCCTTCTCTCTCTAGCCTCTTTCCCTCCTCAATCCCTCCCCGGCGTCTGCGTCAGGCCCCCACTTGCGTGACGCTCTGGGTCTGGGTGGGAGCTGTCCACTCGCCCGGGGTGCTGAATGCAGCAGCGGCGGCGGAGAGAGCTGAGAGGCGATTCTCTGCTCCAGGAACCTTGCTTCCAGACCTCGGACGGTCAGCTCACCGCCTGCCACCTCCCTTCCAGCACCACCCCTTTGGGAACTGAGCCAGGGGGGCAGCAGTCGCGGCGGGCGGGTGCTGAGCAACGGCGGAAGACGAGACAACTCCTGGCAGCAGCCTGGAATCTGATTTGCTTCCTCTCGCCTTTTCAAAGAGATATATTTATACGTGGTTTTGGGGGAGTCGCGAGGACCCAGCCGGAGCCAAGTGCTGGCTACCTCCCACCTCGGCCACGCTGCTTCGTTACCCCCTCCCCACCCTTAGCTGGTACTGCAAACAAGCCTTACCTCGTTGCTTCTACGAAGAGAGGTAGCAACAGCGAGCCCAGCCAGCCAGAGGCAGCGGAGAGGAGGGAGGGGTTGGGGGGGGGTGGCTCGCAGAGAGCCGAGCAAGGCCGCCCTTGGTGGGGGTAGCAGGGGCAGAGCTGCTGTGAAGAGCCGGCAGCCGCCCTTCCCCCCCCACCCCTCTAGAAGTGCTCTTTCCTGATTACTGGAGAACCGAATTATTCTTATTTCACTAGTATTATTTCATTTTTCATTACCCTTACTCCTCACTCCCCAGCCGCCCCCACCCCTACGCCTGCCTCGCCTTTGGTTGCATGGCAGCGCTGCCTGGGCGCGGGGGCTCAGGGCTGGCCCCCCGGGAAGGAGGAGGAGGCGGAGGATCATGAAGCCGGGAGTCTCGGCCGCGTCGGACGGCGAGCTGCAGTCAGAGGACGAGCCGGAGCGGCCCCCGCCCGGGAGACACCCGGACGCCGCCGACAAGCAGTCGCCGCCGCCGCCACAGCAGCGTCGGTGGCCGCGGGCAGACCCGGGAAGAGAGAAGGAGGGCGACAGCGGCCCAGAGGAGCAACCGGAGAAGGCGAGGCCACTCACCCGCCCGGACCTGCCCTTCTACCGCCCCTTGCCCCTCGCCCCAAGGAACCTTTGATGGAGCCAGGGAAGGGGGCCGAGGGTTTACAGACTGCCACGGGGCTGGGCAGGGGGCTCTGATCATGTAACTGCTCCCCCTAGTCCCCTCCCACACGCACGCCCCTCTTCTCTACCCCTTCCTTATCTCTGCCCCACTACCTCCCACTTCCCCCACACACGCCCTTCCTCTAGCCAGGATCCTAACGCTCAGGAAGGCGGTGGCTCTGCAAGGGTTAAACGGGCTTTTCTGTTTTTCCCTTTCTTTTCCCGTCCCAGTCCCTGATTTTCCCACCTCTATTCTAATAGGCTCTCCCCTCTTCTGTGCAGCCCTTCGGCTGCATAGGCAAAGCACAAGCCCTTGCCCAGCATCACCTGGATCCCTTCCCCACCCACCCACTGTCTCTCAAAAGCAACTCTGGTGCTTCTGGAGGTTAATTGCCCCAGTTTTCTGCCCAGGAGAATTAAAACTTCCCACCTCTATTCTAATAGGCTTTCCCCTCTTCTGTGCAGCCCTTCGGCTGCATAGGCAAAGCACAAGCCCTTGCCCAGCATCACCTGGATCCCTTCCCCACCCACCCAGTGTCTCTCAAAAGCAACTCTGGTGCTTCTGGAGGTTAATTGCCCCAGTTTTCTGCCCAGGAGAATTAAAACTTCTCCCACCCTCCTCTCTTCCCCTCTTCACCTCCCCCAGCCCCTCAAAACCAACCTCCTGCTACCTAAGGAAAACTCTCTTTTCTCTCTAGCACATGCAGTCCTCAATTCTTCACTGAGCTCGTTTGCTCTAAGCCCAGCTCAGTCCACTCCAAATTTTGTTGATAACCTTCCTTACCCTTTTATATGAAGAAATTTCCCACTGCCTGGGAATTTGAGAAAAACCCAATAAGCCTCTTCCCGGGGAACTTTCTAACAGTTAGATTTTGATCTCAAGGCCCTAACAGCCCATCCTCAACTTTTTCTTTTTCCTTCCTCTAGCCAGGATCCTAACGCTCAGGAAGGCGGTGGCTCTGCAAGGGTTAAACGGGCTTTTCTGTTTTTCCCTTTCTTTTCCCGTCCCAGCCCCTGATTTTCCCACCTCTATTCTAATAGGCTTTCCCCTCTTCTGTGCAGCCCTTCGGCTGCATAGGCAAAGCACAAGCCCTTGCCCAGCATCACCTGGATCCCTTCCCCACCCACCCAGTGTCTCTCAAAAGCAACTCTGGTGCTTCTGGAGGTTAATTGCCCCAGTTTTCTGCCCAGGAGAATTAAAACTTCTCCCACCCTCCTCTCTTCCCCTCTTCACCTCCCCCAGCCCCTCAAAACCAACCTCCTGCTACCTAAGGAAAACTCTCTTTTCTCTCTAGCACATGCAGTCCTCAATTCTTCACTGAGCTCGTTTGCTCTAAGCCCAGCTCAGTCCACTCCAAATTTTGTTGATAACCTTCCTTACCCTTTTATATGAAGAAATTTCCCACTGCCTGGGAATTTGAGAAAAACCCAATAAGCCTCTTCCCGGGGAACTTTCTAACAGTTAGATTTTGATCTCAAGGCCCTAACAGCCCATCCTCAACTTTTTCTTTTCTATCCCCCTGCCTGTAACCAGTGCTACCGGGTCAAAAGCAAAAAGGGAGACATGCTGAAAGCTTAAGGTTTGGGTAGAGGTAGGAGGGGCAAGACAATTTTCTGTTGGGCTTTCCAGATAGAGTTCAGGACCGGTGACTCTCAGTTGCCAGTCCTGGGAGCCATTTATTTGCTACTTGGAGGGGATGTAAGAGGAGCCAGCAAGAACGAAGACTCCCTCCATCATAACACAGATACACTGTGGACCCCCCAGACCATCCTATCCTCCGCAAAGACTCCACCTGCCCCTACCGGGCTCTCTGCTTCCACTGGGCACATGCTGATGCCCCTGAGTGGGCTGCTGCGGTGGTGGTGCTGCTGTGCCTGGCACTGCTGTGGATTGTGCACCCCAGCCCCCCAGATGTTGCGCCACCAGGGTCTACTCAAGTGCCGCTGCCGTATGCTCTTCAATGACCTGAAGGTTTTCCTCCTGCGGCGCCCCCCTCCAGTGCCCCTGCCCATGCACGGGGAACCCCAGCCCCCTGGTTTGGCTGCCAACAACAACACGCTTCCGGCTCTGGGTGCCGGCGGGTGGGCAGGCTGGAGGGGCCCTCGCGAAGGGGTGAGCAGGGAGACCCCTCCCCTGCCACCTCCACCACCTTTGCCTCCTTCTGTGGAAGATGACTGGGGCGGCCCAGCCACAGAGCCACCTGTCTCGCTGCTCAGCAGTGCCTCGTCAGATGACTTCTGTAAAGGGAAGCCTGAGGATCGCTACTCCCTGGGCAGCAGCCTGGAAAGTGGCATGAGGACCCCACTCTGCCGCATCTGCTTCCAGGGGCCGGAACAGGTGAGACCCTTCTCCCCTTTTCCTACTCGCCTACTTGCCCTGTGCTGTCTCTAGCAGGAGGACTGTAAGCTTTCAGGGATCCTCAGTGATGTTTCATGTGGTTAAATTTGCCCAAGAGGTATCTGGTGCCTGGTGGAGCCTGTTTTGCATTTTCCTTCCATATGTTCAGTTCCATCCCAAAATTCCATCAGCATCCTCGGAGGGGAAGATTCGGAAGTTGGAAGGGATGAAATAAAGGAACTTAGTGGTACATTCATGCTTGTTGCCAAGATATCCTTGTATCTGATTTGTCGTTAGTGACATTTCCCCAGACTGTCTTCAGTGCCAGATTCAAACTTCTTCCCTCTCTGATAGTGTGCGGAGATCTTGTCCTTACAGCCTATGTCTGTTTCTTCACTTTGAGATGATCCCCTCCCATATTATATTGACATCCTTGGCAGTGCGTTTTAGTTATTGAGGAGGAAATGGAGAGGGTTTGTAAGTTCATGAAGATTATACAGTTTGCAAAGACACTTCTTGTCAGACTCAAGTTTTTCTAGGTTGAAAGCATTAGGTAAGTAGGGTGAGAGGGAGTTTAAGGAAAGTGGAGAAGAAAGTAGGGAGTCTGATCATAACCATCCGCCTTGGCAGATCTGAAAGCACATGAACTTAGAAAGTCCCTTAAACTCTCTCCATCAGGATAGAGATGCCAAATACCTTATGGACCAGAGTCTTCCCAAGGCCACGGGTTCTCCCTACCCCCACTCATTCAGATTTTCAAAGACATACTCACACCACCCCTTCTAGCTCCATTTTCAATCTAGTGTTTGCAGTGCTGGAGAACATGTGCACATTCTTCTGGAACCATGAATTGTGGCAACACAATTCTGGCCCACAGAATCCCAGACAAGAAAGGTTCACCTGAAAATCTGACTTAATGGTGCTGGAGAAGGAACATTCAGTTGCACCCTGGGCAGGGTTATATGGTCAAATCAGCCACTTCACAAGTTTCCCAGAAGTGGGGGTCAGGCTTCTGTGTACTTACAACAAGTGATGGTGTAGTAGGTTGACATGCTGCTGCATCTGAGTGGCTCTGGTTCGTGTTGAAGGCTTTGTCTTTGAGAGACAGGCTTCGCTGACATTGTCATTCATTCTGTGTTTGCCTGGAATGAGCAGGGCACTTTGGGACAGATGATAACTGGGGCCATGGCCCGGGCATTATGAGAGGAAGGAATGTTGATCTCAGTGTGAATAAATGTCTCTGAGAGGCTGAGGGCAGGGCTCCTCCTTTTTGTGACTGGAGTGGGTTGCCATTCCCTTCTCCAGGGGATCTTCCCTACCTGGGGATTGAACACAGGTTTCCTGCATTGCAGGCAGATTCTTTACCATCTGAGCCACCAGGGAAGCCCTTTTGTGACTAGGATTGCCAAAAAGTCCCAACTGGACTGCAGCTTAGAACCAAAGACTCCTGTTAAGCAAGAAGATCCAGGTGCCTGCTCAGTGCCCCTCTTCCAGGGCTGGGCCTCCAGCGCAGACACAAGAAAGAGCAGCACCGCTGAGAGCAGGAAGCGTGCTTCACTCTGGGCTGCTCACAATCAGCATCTGTCCCCATCAGAAGCCTCGTCGTCTCAAAAAAAAAAAGAAAAAGAAAAAGAGGAGAGAGACTTATTTCTTCTCCCATATGCCTGGTGGTTCAGGTCTGAATGTCACAGGGGCATTGGGAGTGTGGCTTCTGGGAAAAATATGCTTGTCTCTAGAAAACAACAGGGCTTAGAACCTGTTCTGGATGATATTTATCTGCTGTGTGAACTCCTTCAATTTCTTTATTCCCCAGGGTCCCTTTTCCAACTTCTGTGATTTAAAAGAACCTTTTCCTATTCCCTGCATTTCCTTATAAGTCTGTTGAAAGGATCCAGAAGATAATGAGCCTGAAAATGACTTGAAAGGGATTAATATATAATGACATATATTTTGCTCATGGTAAAGCAATATTTTGTTTTAAAAAAAAATTCTTAGGAATACTGTGAAATATCCTTAAGCGACATAAGGTCTGGTTGGAGGTTAGGAGCTCTCCTTTCTTGTTTGTTATTTTTACAATGTGTCATAAATAAAGCATGGAGTAGAAAAAAAAAGCTAGCACCAATAAAGAAATGAGCTCTATTATTATGTGAGAGGGATGGGAGATAGTGTGGATACCAAGTCTGGATCAAATCAAGCATCCTCTGCATATGACTGTTATGTTTTGAGGCTTTGCTTTATTTGGGCAGGAGCCAGGAGATTTTAATGGGATTGTGTTATACTAGAAACAAGAGTTGCATGTGTTAGATATGAACACATTTTCCCACTTTTTGCTTGTTTTTCTTCACAGGATTTCAGTGAGGAAGGGAGACAAAGGGGAGGAGATGGGGAAAACTCTCTAGAGAAGGAAGAAAGAGAAGTCAGACACAGACAGAAAGTGAAAAGCTGAGATTTCAGTATTTTGTTTTCTGTTGGGGGAGGGAGCTGTCCAGCAATTGTTCACACGTGGACTTGCAGCGAATGTAGACAGTCTGCAATCTTAGTCGCTGAATGTCTAGGTCTTTTCTCTGACCAGACAAAGGAACTGAACAGCTCCTCGGTCACTTGCCACTGCTCCAGGGCCTAAAAGGATGCCAAAGCTGAAAATCTGGTCTCTTCCTGCCAAAGGCTTGAAATGTATGTGGTGGGGGGCAGGCAACTGAAGGATCCAACAAGTTCCAAGTTCATATGTATCTCTAAAGGATTGATTATTTATTCATTCACACATGCATATATTTAGCAAATGTTTGTTGGGCACCTACAGCATGCCAGATATTGTTTCTGACCCTGGGTTTCTAGGAGTGAACAACACAGATGAGATCTCTGGTCTCCTGAAGCTATTGTTCCAGTGAAAATGCAGAAATAGACAAGTAAACTAGCAGACAAAAAAAGTGATAAAGTGATTTCAGGTGGTGTTGAGTGCTCTGATGAAGGCAAAAACAGGAAAATGAGTTAGACAAGAAGGAGGGAGGGGGCTTGGGAGCTACATTACACAGACAGATTGTGAGCAGCTGCCCTAAGAATATACCATCTGAGCTGATACCTAAGTGATGCAAATGACCCAGGGACACATCCAGAGGTCTAGAAGAAGAGTTATGCAAGTAGAGGAGACAGCAGGTTCAAAGGCTCAAGAATGAACACGCTTAGTATGTTTGAGAAACAGAAGAGAAGACAGGAGGAGAGAGAGGGGTTGGGTGTGAACAAATGCTTTGAAGGCCAACTCGGCTCCACCCTGGACAACTGCCTGAGTGGCCAGCTCCTCCCCTCAGCCAGTCATTTGGGTGGGACAGGGATCAGTCGGTCAAGGATCCACGAGAGCAGGGGACAAGAGCCTGGCTGGCAACCCTTCGCTCTCCATTTCTGCTTGAAGCTGCCCTAGTTCATGTCCAGGAAGTGTGCCTTGGTGGGTAAGCAGAGGCCTCTGAAGCCAGATGGCCCCAGTTTGAGGCCTGAGCAATTTGCACAGATTCTCTGTGCTTCAGGTTTCTCATTTGTAAAACTGGCCTGATAATGATAGCCCCGAAATTCAAAAGGTTATTGTGAGCACCAGCAGTGCTGTCACAGTGTTTGTTGCTTTTGTTATCTCAGAGATAAGACATTGTCCCCTTTCCCACACACTTGGTTTAAAAGGAAAAGTGTGTCCCAGCTTCCAGGCTGGCAGGAGGACTGCTGTGATGTGGTCCATCTGTGTAGTAGATTGCTTCTTGCTCACTCACAATGCTCTAGACAGAGTGCCGCTCTTCTGTTTCCATCATCAAAAGTCTATATTAAGTGCCTACCTCTGCCTGCTGCTCTGCTGAGCAGGGTCTGGAGACACAGGGCAGATGTGGGCCTGCCCCCTCTGGGAGTTTCACAATCTAACCCAGACATCACAGAGGCTGATAGAGATCAAGAACACACAGACAGTGAGTCGCAGGTGAATTACAGTAATATCAGGGCAAGGAAGAGATGCATGCTTAAAAGCAGCTAGCGTGTGGGGTGCCTATTCAGAGAGACAAGTGGATGAATTTGCTACCTTTTCTCCAATTAGTCAGAGAAGGTTTCTCTGATGCGGCTGCAGACTAAGTGAGAAGAAATAGACTTAGGCTGAGTTTAGACAGCAGGAAGCAGAAGAGATGTGAGACACAAGAACACATTAACAAAGAGGTGAAACCATCTCCCAGGCAGGGTCAGCTGTGGAGCTCCTGGAGTGGGTACAAAGATGGAATCTACCACAGTAGAGGGGGTGATGGGTGATGGGGTACCTGTTTTGGACCTAATGAAAAGCAAGAAACAAGTCTGGAGGGGATTAAGTCTTGGTCAGCCTCCCTTATTCTTCCTAGGGTTCATTTCTCTGGAGCTCCGAGTTCAGAAGGGGCCAGAGTAACGTGAAATATTTTAGTCAATATTTTTGCATCTCAGAAAGTAGGAGAAGAGGGCATTGCTGGGTTCAATGGAAACCGGGAACCCTCAGATGCAAGGAGAACTCTGGGAATGGAGGTAAAATAGAGCATTTTAGGAGAGAAGAAATAGTATATTATTTTTCTTAGCATGATGGTTCAATTTTATACTTCTTTGTGTGATTAATTAATATCTATATCCACAAAGAATAGACCCATACCAAACATTTATGGACCACAGGGCAAGAGTATGGATATAGTCTCACATACCATCAGTTCAGTTCAGTTCAGTCACTCAGTCATGTCTGACTATTTGCAACCCCATGGACTGCAGCACGCCAGGCTTCCCTGTCCATCACCAACTCCTGGAGCTTACTCAAACTCATGTCCATGGAGTCGGTTGCACTGGCTTGTCCAAGCTCTATCTATACCACCTCCAAAGAGCTTCCTCTTGCCTCTCTCCCTTTGAGCTTGAAGAAAGAGAACCATGAAGGTTTGGGGAGCAGGCTCACAGCTAAATAGGCAGGAACTCCAGGGTTTCAGGTAATCAAGGCATGTTTTAGAAAGGGGATGTGGGTCTCTGCA